ACACACACACACACACACACACACACACACACTGGATTTGGGGGTTAAGCATTAAGTTACAGTTCCTAGAGGCAGAGCAGCCTGGCACAACACACCATCATTGCTGTTGACTGTAACATGAGGGCCGGCTTGTTGAGGTTTCTGTCCTGCTCGGTACCCCACAGTCGGCAAGTCCCAAAGAAAACCACACATTCTACATTAGTTATAAAACTGATTGGCCCATTAGCTCAGTTTTCTTATTCTCTTATAAGTTATATTAACCCATTGTTCTTACCTATGCTAGCCACACGGTTCAGTACCTTTCACAGCTGGGCAGGTTACACCTTGCTTCTTGGTGATCTGGGAAGGAATGGGGGGGGAGGAGCTTCCTGCTTTCCAGAATACTCCTGTTCTTTTTGTTCTACCTCTACTTCCTGTCTGGTTTTCCCGCCTCTACTTCCTGCCTGGCCAATCAGCATTTACTTAAAACATGATTGACAGAATACAGACAATTATCCCACACCAGTTGACCAGGTAAGAAGTTCTACATCCCATGGAGCAGGGCAATGCAATGGGAACGGTTGTACACCTCTAGATTTTTCCTAGCTTAGAGATACCCAGACTGTGAGTACCCAGACTGTGACTCCCACTTCTGGAGTCTGCTGCTGAAGAGCTAGGTATTTGGAGATGGTCAGGCTGTCTCTCCAGGTCTGTTTTCTCATTTGTAAAATAACAGGGCTGCCTCATAGGATCATAGCGGTTGTCAGTGTAGTGAATGTTTAGTCGATGACACTTTTAGCATTAAAATCTAGAACTAGTACTTCCCAGGATGTAATACTTTTTCCTGTTGGAATCCTGTAATCTAGTTTCTGAACCATGTTGGGGTACAGCGGGATTTGCCTCTCACCTGAGCAAACCTTAACGCGCCATTCTTCAGTTCATCTTCAGCCCACTCTGAGGATTGATGCCACCTGACAATTGTAAAATGTCCCAATTAATGATTTTTTTGTTGCTTATTGGCTTTTATGTTTTCTTGATGATTGGTGCAAAGTTGGTTTTTTTTTTTTTTCTGTAGCAAGAGTCTGTCCTCACGACAAAGGAGTGTCTCTGCACCTCGATCTTTCTCCTTTTTTATACTCCTGTCTTCTCTGGAACTGTTTGTTGAAACAGTCTCACCTGACAGAACAAAGATAATGACCCACGCTTGACATGACCTTCTGGGAAGCCCTTTTGTGTCGTGTATTTAAACTGTAGGTTACAACTCAAGACTGGGGTAAAAACCTCAGTGAACTCTCAACTAGGACTTAAAAAAAAAACAAACCAAAACCTGTAACAGTAGTAAAGAAAGCTATTTCCCCAACCTAAGAAATCTCACATACATTTTATAAGCAGATACAGTCACATACGTGTATATACAGGTGTTAACATACTTCTAAGGGTTACTATTAAAGTTTGGAAAACATTTTAATGGCCTTTCTTTTGTTTGCGTTCCTGAATTAGGTCTTCAAAGTAGTGCATTAAAATTAAGCCTTTGCTTCCCTCCCAAATCCTCTTCAACGTTTTGAGCTTTTTCTACAGGAAGGGTGGATATTTTCCACCCTGTGAGACAAGGATGTAGCACAGACTGTATAGACAAATATGACCTTGAACTTCTGATCTTCTGGCCTCCACCCCCTAGTGATGGGACTGCAGGTGTGCGGCAGGCCTTCTCTATGAAGCGATGAGGACCAAGCATACTAGGGATGCACTCTACCAACTGGCTACATCCCAGCTTCCCCTATAGAAAGACTCTGGAATAAAGGCGATAGATTAGTTTGTTTCCAAAGCTGTGATGAAACACTACTAAGGCCCCAGTCAGGGTAAACAGACACTAAACTGAATGCTACACAAGTTTAGATCATTTAGTGTTAAAAGGTATAATAGAGGCATGCATGATGCCAACGGTTCCTAAAGTCCTGTGACTCGTCCTTCTCGGGATGGCAGCCAAGAATTGATGGATAAAACCATCTATTTGCACCCAGAGGCTTCTGGTTGCCAGGCTGACCACAGAATGACAGCGTCTTCTTTCCAGCACTTGACATGATGCCTCAAGGAGTCTTGGATGAAAGTGTGGGCAAGGCCACATAAAAGGACCAGAAGCTGGAACTTCTTTAAATTTAGAGCAGATTTGCAAATTGTGTGCTACAGCTTGCTGATAAATATTGCTAACAAGTGACCGTGAGTGAGGTGAATTGAGTCTGAGCTTTGCTTTCTTATTAAGTAGTCAGTAGGTACCATTTTCTACTACAGACAACCTGAGTCTTAAATGACTAAATTGATTGTCAATTGGAGAAATAACTATGTCGTCCTCTTGTACTTTTGAAATACTCCCAAAGACTCACTCAAACACCAGTCATTTCTCAAAGTAAGTTTATTGGATTATTTGCTCTAGACAAATGAAGTTCATGTGTACAGTTATAAAACAGGGCAAAGCTAACTCGTACCACAGCTGTCTAGAAAAGGACGGGGGCTGCAGTCACTTGAGGGACACTGTGGCGGGACGTAGCACCATGGCATCAAAGACACTCTCTGTGGGTCTTTTTGAACATTCGGTGACAATGTAAAATTGTAACAATTTTGGAGGCAGGAGATATGGCTCAGCAGTGAGGAGTGCTCCGTGCACTTCCAGAGGCCCCACATTTGGTTCTCAGGATCTATGTTAACAGGGCAGCTCACAGTAGCCTGTAGCTCCAGCTTCAGGGATCTTCAGGGCGGCCTCTTCTGGGCTCTGTGGGCACCGCACCCACAGGCACATTCACATAGCCACCCTCATATATTACAAGTAAGTCTTTACAAATTTTAACAAATTTGATAATCTTGTGTTCAATTACTTTAAAATATAAAATTATTAGATTATTTCCAAAATAGAGAACTTGGAAAGGATATGACCTCATATAATTTCCTTAAAAACTCCTGAGAAAATTGTTATCAGAGTCTGATTTCCTTCCATCATTTCCACAAATTAGAAGCTTTGTATGATTAGGTAGTTATCAATTTAAACAATTTGCTTATAAAAATATATATGTTAAAAAACTAAAGTATTTCTATTTATTGGTTTGTTTAGTGAATTTGGAAGAACAAGTGAGAACCTTCCTACTCTACACTCTAAAGATTCAGATGTTCACACGTCTATCTTTGAGGGTCATTCTAAGCTACTGTGTTCTAAATGACCTTAGTAATATGGGAAAGTTGACGGCAAACCTTTTTCTAAAGACCAACCACATTTTCACCCAAAATATATAAAGTACCTAAGAAATAATGTGTTTCCGAGGTCCTCACCAGCCCATTTCACTAGTTAAGAGACACTGCATTCAAAAACCTACTGCAGCAAAACCAAATGGAGCGGTCATAAACACTCCAGGACTGCTCAGTCTGGTGGTTCCCACCCTCAGCCTCCTTTTGGGGGGCATGAACCACTTTGAGAAACCAACGAAATCTAACTTCCGGTGACTAGAAAACTGAACAAAAAGCATCTTATCCACAGTTCCGAAGGATTCTCAGATACTCATGTCTTTCAAGCTAGAAATCCCTATTTCGAAACCAGGGGGGTCACCTCACGCGGTGAGCCAGCATGGTCTACAGATCAGGCTTCAGGCCAGCCAGGGCTATAGAGTGAGATCCTGGGGGATGCTGTGAAGGGCAGGGAGGAGGAGGAAGGCTTGGTTCACTTGATGTTGTCTGTTTCCAGTTAATTGCTAATTAATAAGCATTTTATTATCACTACTTGAGTGGCTGTCTGCAGACAAAATTAGTCTTATAAGCATCAATAAGCTTTAAAAATTTATTCTTTCCAGTTTTACAAGGTGTTAAACCAAGCACTTTCTACCTCAAATTGATTAAATTCTCAAAGTTGAAACTTCTAGAAACTTGCTTCCCTGTTAGTCTCCAGAGCTAGTCACTGAAGAACAAGCCAGTCCAGTACCATAGGGAATGGACACGTGAAGGCTATCTGGCTTTATGAAATACATTTCTAGCTATGCTACACACTTGGAAACAGACAGAAAGCATGATGTTGACTCCCAAACCTTTTTACTTGCTTGGAGCCGTCTGACAGAGACCCCTTACTAAGGTAATGAAATGTACTAGAAGTCCCCCTACTGGCCAGAACAGGAAGGTCTTTATCTTTTCAATGAACCCACCATATCAAAACCCATCTTATTAATCCTCAGTTGTCAGACAAGTTGATGAAGTCCCTCTTTGTAAACCTTGATGTTGAGTCACTGACTCAACATCATTTTTTTTTCTTAGTCTAAGATAAAAAAAACTACTATACTGCCAGGGGCCAGGCTTGGTCCTTCTTGGAATAAGATTTAAACGCCCTATTAAGTAATTCAAATAATTTTTCTAGGTTCAAGGTCAGGTGTCAGTCCTGTGTGTGTGTGTGTGTGTGTGTGTGTGTGTGTTTGGTTTTTTGAGACAGGGTTTCTCTGTAGCTTTGGGGCCTGTCCTGGAACTAGCTCTGTAGACAAGGCTGGCCTCGAACTCAGATCCCGAGTGATGGGATTAAAGGCATGTGCCACCAACGCCCATCAGTCCTTTCATAATCATTCAGTTTTGCATATTTGTAGAACAAATCCCAAACATTTGAATTTAGGAAGAGGTTAACTATGAAAATGGCACTGCCAAAGAAGCTACAACTCCTCCTGGCCTTTGACACAGAACATGGGAGCAGCACACCCCCTTATTTTCCCTCTCTTTACACACTGAGCATGAAGGCGCCTTTCTGATCCCTCAGATCAAAACGGGCAGGGAGGGCACAACACTACGACAGTCTCAACATAAGGATGTAAAACTGGTGTGAAGGGTCTGTAAGTGAAAACGTGTGTCTTGTGAAAGCAGCCGGGTTAACTCCCCGCACTACTCCAATGCATTGCCCCTCTGGCCCCACTACACTGCTGGGTGAAAGCTGAAGATCCCTGGCTATGCTGAGTTTCATTTTAAATATATTAATTAAGCCTATTCAAAAAATTAAAGACAGACAGTAACGGTTTTAAAGTTTCTCTTTGAAAAGATGATATCTTACAGTACATACAAAAATACTCTGAAAATACATACGACTTCATTTACAAAACACGGAGTCAACAGATTACAAGAATTACATGGTTGTGGACTTTTAATAAACTGAGCATGCATTCATGAAACTTAAAAAATATTAAGAAATGCACTGAAAAAAGCAGTGTAAAAAAAGACAACTCATATAGTTAAATAAAGCTACAAAGGTCCTGAGCCAATTAATGGTGGGTAACAATGTCATTCAAAAATGCTTTGAGGTTTCAATAAAATCCACTGCTTATTCTGCATGCCTAATCCATGAGGAGACTGCTGGAAGTTATGGTGAGGGATTACCATGCTGAGTTAATTTTATACTTCAAAAATACAAGTCTGCCATACTTAAATGTATCTTATCATTGATGGTGGGATGAATTCTTCCTTTGTAAAAAATACCAATCAGCTAACAAGAATGTCATGAGATAGTAAGACATGTAACAATTTCACCATTCATATACTGACTTTCAGTATCCTGGTTATAGTCTGATTTTTAATAAAGATGCATTTTGAAGACCTCCATGGGAGGCAAAATACTGAGAATTTATGGTGCCCAACTCTTGTGTAATCACTGGACTAGTCCTCCCTGGAAACTATGCAACATCTGGACAAAAGCACAAAAAATAGTTTAAATATTTATGTGCCAATCTGAAAAAAATAAATTAACAAAATAGACATCTGCACAAACGAAAGAAGAAGAAACATATCTCACATTCATTAACCTCGGGCTTTACAAAGTGGCTTCAATGCTAAAGTAAACATACAAACATTTGGAAAATTACAAGACAGGTTTTTTTTTGTTGTTTTAACTTTTTCAGCTCTATACAATGACTACAACATAAGACTTCAACAACAACAACAACAACAACAAAAAACCAACCAACCAAACGAAACAAACAAACAAACAAACAAAAACAGTTCAGGGCTTGTTTTATCAAAGTCCAAGTGGCCAAGAACTGGTTCCCATGACAGAGAAACAAACATCAAAAGTTAAGGCAGTAAAACCTCAAAATGCAAAGCCATAATACTGTAGGTGACATTTACTAGCAGGTGAACCTCAGAGGGCACGTAGCAATCAGTGAGAATGCCACAGCATCTCAAGGTCAAATGTGAGAGTTCAAAAACCACTCCAAGGTCATGAGGCTGTTGACGGGAACTGTCATGCCGTCTATGCCACTGTGTGACTACATGGTCACCAAGTGAAGAGGCACTGCTATTACCGGTTAAGAGTCAGTCGGATGGAGTTTTTAATGACACGGATGTTGCTTGCTGGAACTGGAGATGATGAATCTGGCAGTTCTTTACTGGGTAGTCTCTGTTGAAAGGGAGACAAAAAAAAGTGTGAATGTACATACATGCACGTACACCCCACCCTATAAGGGCTCATTCATCTAACAAATCAACCATCCAACTCTACTTGGACTTTTTCTCCACAGCCCTACACCCTGATGTTCACAGGTGCACACAACAGCTCCTTTTCCATTCATCCTAAGTACTTCTTTACTCTCAGGTCTTTTAAAAGTCAAAACTGAGAAGCAGAGAAGTAGAGAAAGTAGACGTGGCAGCAATGCGAGGAGGGCTCTGGACTTTACTAACTCAGTCACCACTGGGAAATGTATAAAGGACTCCACCGTCCCTAACGCTGGGCAATGACGCCGAGCAACAGCAGTGCGGGTGACTGAAGAGCACAGTCTGAAGACTGTGAAGTAAACATAGGCACTCTACAGGAGGACCTGGTACTGAGAGTTACCTCCCTCCATTAGTTCTTGTGCTGTGTGATAGAAACAATTCAAAGCTTGGCCGCAGGTAAATGCAGAGGATGTGGTCAGTGGCAGACCACTTGTGTGGCAGGCATGAGGTTCTGAGTTCAACCCCCAGCACCAAAAATAAGCAAACGAATTGGTAAAAAGTTCAGACATACAAATAAAGGACAATGAAGATTTATACAGCATAAGCAAACTTCAGACATTATACGCGTCTACTCACTTACACTCGAATGGTTTTTTGTTTTGCTTGTTTTTGACAGGTCTCTCCATGTAGCTCTGGCTTTCCTGGTATTCAGACATTCACCTGTCTAACTCCTGAGTGCTGGGATTAAAGCATGTACCACCACTAGCTGTACTTCAAATATTTTAAAACATACTCATGCCATTCACTCTTTTATATTTTAATATCCACCCCAATATTTCCTATCCATTATCATATTTAATATATATTTTTGTAAGGCAGTCTTACAGTGTGAGCTGTGTAACAGAAATTACTTTGGTTCCAAAAGTCCCGACACAGTAAGAGCTGATCTAGGGAAGTAGCTCCTTTGTGGAGGGCTGAAAAGAAGCCACCTGTTCTGTACACTCAGGGCAGGGCTTTGTGGGATCTAACAAAGCTCCTTCCTAACACTTGCTCATTAGCTTTCCATGCTCACCACATTTGATTTCTAATAACTTAAATTCTGAAAGCAGTGTATATAACAAAAGCTATCTTTGGCATTAATAAGAAACCTGTGCCATGCAACCAAGTATTCAGAGAAATAAGACAGACCGAAATCTGAGTAGGCCACAAGTCTTCCGAACTGTGTCCTCTCCTAGCCTCCTGAACAATGCCCACTCAGAACTG